TGACCATTTGGTTCTAAGGGCATCCTCATAGCCTCTTTTTTCTTTTTGGTGGGTAGAGATGATACTGAGGAAGGGCTGGGGGGAAAAGTACAGATTACAAGTCACCAGCACTTTGTTTCCAGGATGCCACTACATACTTAGTCACCGGCCATAGCAGAAAAAGAACTCATTTCTTTCTTTGGATTTTTCACTTTACTTGCCCCGTTTGCTAAGTCTGCTCTAGTAATTAGTAACCTGCATTAGTAATCTGCTCTAGTTGAAAAGCAAATATTTGCTTTTAAAAGTTACATTGCATTTTCTATAAAGCTATGTTTTGCTGACATAGAATTAAACTGGAGTATAACCTTTTTAATATAATTGTTAGTTTAAACTATCTGGCGTCTCAGTAAAAATAAGAAGTACTCTAGAACCCAAATTTGTCTGTGATGGATACAATTTTTTTTTCAGACCATTCATGGCAGAAAATAGTCCTGTTAATTCTAGTGATGGCACTAGTGATTCTAGCAAAATAATGTGGAAAATATCAAACTGCCACCAGATGTGAAGTTAGAACTGAGATAACCTCTTTACTAGCAGAAGCCAGCATGTGTGTGTAATAAAGACTATCCACCAATCTGTAGGCATATTGGGAGTGATAAACAGTCACTTTGACAAGATAAGAAAAACACCATTCTTATCACCTCAGTAAAAAATCCAGAGCACTGCTTTAGTGAGGGAAACTGAGTCCTCACGATGGATAGTGCAGTCATGGTTTTAAGAACATGATTAAGTGATGCCAAAGCAACTTTCTAACCATCACCAGAGAGACACCAGAGCAAGGGTACTTGTGAAAGTAGTGACTCATGTTCTGCTGTGGTCTAGAACATATGCACGGTTAAGCTTTAAGGATGTAATTGTGGATCAAAGATGGCTGCACATTCTTTGCTACTCCTCCTTTTTAGAGGTGGAGTCTAATTCTCCTACCTTGAATTTGGGCTGGCTTTAGTGACTTGCTTGAGTAGCAGAATGTGAAAGAAGTGATGTTCTAGAAATTCTGAAGCCAGGTCAGAAGAAGTCTTGCAGCTTCTACCTAGATTTCTTAAAACACTCGCTCTGAGGGAAGTCAACCAGTAGGTAAGAAGCTTGGCTACACTGAGATCACTATGCTGTGAGAACCCAAGCTAGCCAGAGGGAGCGGGGGGAGAGAGAGACGCTCAGCCAGCCCCAGCTATTCCAGCCACACTAGACCAAGTGCCAGCTCTGTGAATGAAAGATTCACGTTGGACATTGCAGCCTCAGTAGATGCAATGTGTGAAACAACCAAGGAACCCAGAGGATAGCCAGAACTGAGGTCGCAGGCATATGGCCTAGCTCAGCTGCCCCAGCCCTCTCCAGCCATTACACCATTAAACCCGAGCTGAGGCTCCCGTCATCATGAAACAGAGGTAAGACCCTTACTGTGTCCTCTCCGAATTGCTGGCCTACAAAACATAAGCATAAGAAGTTGGTTGATGTTTTACACCGCTGTGTTTGAGAGTGGTTTGTTATGCAGTAATAGATAACTAAAACAAATGTTGAAGAGAGAATTTTTATTACTTAGCTATTGTCACAATAATGTAGCATAACATTTGATTCCAAAACTTGGTGAGTTTCAACAGCACTTAGTTTTCTCACTCATGGGTCTGCGCCTTGCCTGGGGTGCTCTTCTTCAAGCTGGGAAGGAGCCAGGCTTGCTCACGGCTGCAGGGTGGATTCTCATTTTGTTCTGGTGCCAGGCTGAAGGGGAAGCATCTATTTGGGCCATGCTGGGTCACATGTGTCCTGGATCACATGTGTGCAGGAGTCCAAGCGCAATTCAGCAAAAACATTTTGACACCTCTGCTCTCTTCATATCCATTTATTCCATTGACCAAGTAGGCTACATGGTCAAGCTCAAAGTCAAAGGGGTAAGTGCACTCCCATCCAAGTGAGAGGAAGAAGAGAAGAAAGACTTGCCGAACAATACTCTAACCTATTGAGAGTTTCAAGCATCAAATAATGGTGGTGGTGATAGTGAGTGGTTTCAGACTGGACCATTTTAAGGTATTTCTATAATTTGGTACTTACATATCTAGAACCCAGAAAGAACATATATTAAGTGTGTGGATGAAGGTGTGTAAATACAGGAATCAATACTTTTTTTGTACTAAATATCCACAAGCAGGAGGCATGTAAAATTATGAAAAGACAAAAGAAATGTAATAGAAGAGCAAAAGGAGAGGAAGTTAGAAAAAGGAAACAGAGAAAAAGAAAGCAGAAAATGAAACTCTTTACCAATTTTTGGGAGGCCAGGAGCAGACACTCGTTTCTTGGTTTGCCTCACATGTAGGCAGAGCTGCTACAAGGCAGTCAGTTCCTGAAGGAAGCCCCAAGAGACCAGTTCCTCCTTAAAGAGAGGCTTTGCTTATTCAGTAACAGATACATTCCGCATGGCATAAGGCACCCTCAAACCCTGCTCTCCCACTCAGCACACACTTGTGTCCAGTGAAAGTGCCAAAAATGCAGAGAGCACCCCCTCCAGTTGAAAGTTAACTATTAACACAGCTCTGGGGTGCACAGAATGGCACAAAAACCTGTGGGCGGCAAGCAGAGTTGGAGCAAGGGGGATTAAGAAAGACCTTGGGAGAGAAGTGGTTTCTAAACTGGGATTGGATGCAGAGGTAAGAAAATGTGGAAGTAGCACACGGTCCCATTTTCATTGTATACATAGAGGCCGCAAGGCTGGAGAGTGAGCTGAAGTCCGATGACGGTAGGTCTTGGATGCCGGGACGACAAGCATATTCCTAATCCAGTGGGAGCCACTGGAAGCTTTTGAACAAGAAGTGACACGAAGGATTGTCTTCTAGTATTATTCTTTCCTGCTTCTTTAGTAACAAAAGCCTCAATTTTTAAAAATTTTCTCCATTTTTTCCATTACCCTTTAACCACCTTATGCCCCCCTCCACCCACCCCCCCCACCAACCCCCAAACCCTCAATTTCTAACTGGGTATGTGCCTGTGTGAAATAAAGAACCTAATTCTAACATGTAAAGTATTTATTAGGAAGATTGGTCTGAGGCAAGGCAAAGTATAAGATGGTTGAAACAAGAGGAGCATTGGAGGACAATTGGGAAAAAAATTCCATAGTCAAGATAAGAAGTAAGGAAATAAAACCTGAGCCAAGTATGGTAGCAGTGGAAATGGATGGAAGAGGTGGATGTGAAAAGAGTCTCTGTGGGGTTTGGCAATTGATGAGATGAGAGGCAACATTAGAGAAAGGAGCATCAAGGTCACTGAGATTTTAAGCAGAGATGACTGGAGGTCAATGATGTAGGTAACAGAAACAAAGAATTCAAGAGGAATGAACAGGCGTGAAGAAGGCAACCATGAGGCCAGTTTTTGACGTTGAGTTGGGATGCCTGTGGAATGTCCAGGTGGAGATGTAAAGCAGGCAATTGGAAATTCATTTCTGGAGCATGATTTGAGAGTCCTTGTACAAAAACAGTAGTCAAACTGACAGAGTTGTTGGTTGGCAAAATAGAGAGTGTGTCTCTGGAATTTCCTCTTTCTTCTGTGCACAGAGAGAAATAAACTGCATTCTGCAAAACCAGATAAAAGTAGTGCAGCTCTTCATGACATGTGCACCCTGCCTCAAAAAAAAAAAAGAAAGAAAGAAAGAAAGAAAGAAAGAAAGAAAGAAAGAAAGAAAGAAAGAAAGAAAGACCTACAAGCTCCAGCTAATGACTGGCTGGCTGGTTACATGGAATGGAAATCCTCACTGTCACAAAATTTGGACAGCTCCTTAAAGTTCCTTAGGAAGGCATTTTGATTTGCACAGATTATCTGTCGTGACATGTTTTTAAATGACTCCTTTTCAGTAAAACATCTATAGTAAATTGCCTTCCTCTTCAATTCAGTTTAACCACATGTAAGACTTCCCTTTCACAATGTCTTGAAAGAGCAATTTTTTTCAAAAACAGTGAGAAAATATACAAACCTAATAAATGTGACAAAGTAAAACCATTCTACAGAACTTTCTCCTATATCTTCTGTGACCAGAGCAAATGTTAAATAAAAGTTGAAATAAAAAAGGATATGAATTCAACGTGAACAGTAAGGAACCATCTTCACAGGCTGGCCAAATAGCCGTCTGCACTGTATCCGCGAGACCGCTGAGGGATGGAAGAGGTTAAAATCCAGTGACTTGTGTAATTCAGCTGAGGTTATGTGGTAAAATGGCAATTGGAAGCAGTGGGGTGAGACCTCTGTTTCTTCTAGAAGTTTTGTGTCTTTACCGCAGACAGCTGCAGGGGAACCCAAGCCACCCTCTTCGGGGTGCGCAGTGGTGGGGCCAGGCGCTAGGTTTGGTGGCCCTGCAGGCCCAGGTTCTATTTAGATATGTCAGAGCCCTTAATGAGCGTGCGATAAGACTTTTCTGATTCATCCATCCCTCGATCAATCCGTCATTCCTTTGTCTCAGACCCAGGGCCTACGCTGGGCACGCCGGCGTGCTACACAGCATGCAACTCCACTGGACTTTCTGGGAGGAGGGGATTTTTTGCAGGAGGACGCGGCGGGAAGACAACCCTGGGACCCCTCACCGCGCGGTGGTCCCTTCGCAAAAGAGACCGGCAAGTTCTCGGGCAGACCCTGGGGGATGAGGTGCGAAAGCAACAACCCCGGGAGGAAGTCCTTCTCCTCCCCCAATCAAAACAAGGAATTCAGTCACGTTCCAGATTCTTCGGGCCCGCGGCCGGCCGAGAGGCCTCGGCAGGTGCCCACGAGCCCGAGGCGTCCCTCAGCGCCTCCCAGCGGTAGCCGGAAGCCCCCATCAAAGGAACCCGGAGGCGGCTATCCGCGCAAGAATTGGCCGGCTCCATCTGAGCCCCAAGGACTCCGGCAGCGCCCCCAGACTGGCCTCCATTCCCACCGCGACGGCTGCCAGGAATAGGAGCTTGGGGCGCTGATTGGCCTGAGCCGCTGGGGGCGGGGCGGCGGGTGTGGCGGGATACAGCCCAGACCGATCCTTCCTTTGCAGCAGCTTGCTCCTTGGGGGTTCCGGAGCTGCATCATCTCCAGTCCGTGGCTTCTGTGGGAAAGCTAGGTGTGCTGCGATCCACTTAGCCCGAGGCTCCAGCCCGTTCTCCGGCGCCCAGACCGGGAGTCTCCGGAGGGCCGGCTCCCAGAACACGCCCGGCACAGCTAGTGGACCTCGCCAGCTCCTCCTGAGCCATTCATTGAAAGCCCAGTCTTTCACTAGAGTCCAAGTCCCTCATCTTCAGCTCCGAGTCGCGGGCAGCGTCATGGAGAAGAGCAGCGAGACCAACGGCTACCTAGACAGCTCCCAGGCTGGGCCTGCAGCGGGGCCTGGAGCGCAGGGGACCGCTGCAGGACGCGCGCGGCGTTGCACCGGCTTTCTGAGGCACCACGCGCTGGTGCTGCTCACTGTGTCGGGAGTGGTGGCCGGCGCAGGTCTGGGCGCGGCTCTGCGTGGGCTCGGGCTTAATCGCACGCAGGTCACCTATCTGGCCTTCCCTGGCGAGATGCTGCTCCGCATGCTGCGCATGATCATCCTGCCGCTGGTGGTCTGCAGTCTGGTGTCTGGCGCGGCCTCTCTGGACGCCAGCTCTCTCGGGCGCCTGGGTGGCATCGCCATCGCCTACTTCGGCCTCACCACGCTAGGCGCCTCCGCGCTCGCAGTCGTTTTGGCGTTCATCATCAAGCCTGGGTCTGGCGCTCAGAATCTTCAGTCCAGAGACCTTGGGCTGGAGGAGTCGGGCCCCACTCCGGTCCCCAAAGAGACAGTGGATTCTTTCCTCGACCTGGCCAGGTAACTATCCCCCCAAAGCAGTGGAGACGCCAGCTGTCCAATACACTCCAGTTTATTCCTAAACACACACCTTCATATACTCCTAAGAGTTAATTCTAATTGGCTGCTGGATGGCCTTTAACATTTTTAAAATATCAAAGTAACGCCTGGAGCCTTTGCATGCTGACCACACCTTTTCAAACATCAATCCTGGCCCAACAGACAATCTAAAGGAGCAGGGCCATATCTTTTAGCAAAAGCCAGTCCTACTGTTAGGTGTGAGTGTGCAGCAGGGCAGAGGCAGCTGTCTTACCTGTACTTTACTCCTTACATTCTGGCTATGTTCTGACCACTCCTGGATCTCTTCACCCCATTTTCTCCCCAACAGTGCCTCAAAGCTTCTGTGAGCATGTGTTAAATTTTGCCTGTTAGACCGTCCTGGCCTGTAATCTGTGGCCTTCTCTGTTTCAGCCCATTGGCTGGGAGGAAGCCGGCAATTTTTTGAAGAACTGTCAGAGAACCCAGGGATTACAAGGCTGGGGTTAGTTGTATGGGCCCATCGCCCAGTCAGGCCTCTTTATGAGGGCTTGGGGCAGGTTGCCCTGCACCCCATAGCCAGGACCACCGTTCAGTATTGTCAATTTCAAGAGGCTTTATTTGTGGGAAGGCGGGAGTTCAAGAGGAGAGGGAAAGAGAAGCAACTCCACGTAGCTTTGCCTGCTTTCTGTGACTCTTACAAGTTGGCTTTCATCCCTTGAGACATAGTGTAGTTTCTGTGGATTACCCAAATGAGCCTCTTCTGCTTTCTCCATTAGCTCAGAGTTCACAAATGGAAAATTGCAGGCAGGAGGCATTTACTGACTTGGCCAAGTGTAGTTGAGTGAGGAGCTCAGCTGGCTCCTGCCCCAGGTTTCCAATTTGGAGCCCTGGAGAGGTGTGTTTTGTCTTGAGTCACTGAGGTAAAGCTCCTCATTGCTAAGGCTGTGAAAACCAGCAGACCCTGGGCAAAGTGACTTGACTTCCTGCAGTTTCCATTTCTCCCTCTGGAAAATGTGATGACTGTCTACTACTTAAGAGAAAGTATTCATTTGAAACTACAGCAACAACAACCAAAGAAGTCCAAGGCATTACACTGAAAAATAAAAACCTCTGATGAGGCAGACCAGAAAGTTCTTACCAAAACTTCTTACCAAAAGGGCAGGCAGAGGTGACCTATTAGGACTTTGATTACATCATAGTCTTTGTTTAGTATCTGGCAGCTTGACACTTGGAGTTTTTAAGAGATCCTTAAAGTGTGAGGACTCACTTTTAGGTGGGTGTTAAAGACAGTCTAATGAGGTCGGGAGTGCCTTTGGCACTTCAGTATATCTGTCAGCTGTCTCAGGAGAGAAGATAGTTACGGGGTTAAAAAAAACAGTGGCCCAGAGAAGGAGTGTGGATGCACAGCTCTGACCTACTGATTGTACCCCCATAGGCAGGCTCAGTAGCATTCTCATCTCCAAGAGAGGAGCAGCGGCCAAAAAACGGGGTGGGGGTGATATGAGAGGTTACCTTACTACCACTAGCACCAGAAGAGAGCTCTTTTTCCCGATCGTAGCTGTCTAGTTTTAGATCCAAGCCCCTTTAGCTCCTGCTTCTGGAGTGAATGGTGACCCAGCATCATGACTCAATGGTCAGTGTAGGTGCAGACTCTTCAGTGACTTGGGCTGCAGATACAAGGAAGGACTAAAAGAACCTTTGTCAGGGCTTGTTGGGTATAGGTAGTGTTCCATAATGTTTCCAACCGCCAACCACATTTAATCCAGCAGTTCACAGATAAAGGTAGTGTAGGTGGTATGATCCTCTTTTCACAACTGAGGAAATTGAGCCATAAAAGGATTGATGATTTGCGTTGGGTCACCAAGTAGTTTATCAAAAGCGGGATTAGAAGAGCCGTAGGCCTCTGTGCCCCACAGTTCAGAGCCCCCTTTCTCTCACTCTCTTGTCCCCCAAGTCAACCTGCCATAGTAATGACGCCATGCTGCTAGCCTAGTTTCACAGTCTCAGAAATGTTTGCTCTGATCCAAAAGAGGATCCAGAGAAAGACTTCATTGCGTCAAGGCAGATGCCCACTTCCTCTAAAAAGAGGAGATGACCCGCTTTGGTGAGGGACAGTGTGTGCAGCTGCTCAGACTTGGCTTTCATGTTGAGCAGCTTGTGAGAGGGAGCAGTCCTGAACCACATGGAAATATTTCCTGGGTCTGGGAATACTCGGTGAAAATTTTCAAATTGCTTCCATCAAAGAAACCTCACAGATGTCGATTTTATTGGTCTCTGGGCATGTTCCTCAGCAAAGGCAGGGCATAGCCCTGGTAACTGCCGACAATTTAAACACCTGGAAGGAGTGGGGAAAGCCTGATGACTAAGTGCAGTGCAGACTTCGCTGAAGTCCATGACCTTTCCTAGCTGTGGAATGCCCCCAAATCCCACAGGGTCTCTCTGCCACAACCACTAATTTGTTGTTTTTTTTTCCCCAAGATGTTACTACAAGTCAGAAAGAAATGAAGCCGATAGATAATCATTATGCTTTTAGAAAATTCAGAATGCCATTACCAAGTGATTTGATTTCCTAGCACACAATGGATTAGAAATAACAAAGTAGACTGGGGAGTGGGTGTGAGGTGCTGGCACTGGGAGCCGGCCCTTTCCAGAGCTTCGAAGTGACAATAGACAGCAGTTGTCAGGTGGCAGAGTCACAGTCTCCTTCTGAGCAGCCTGAAGATTTTATGCCTGAGGACTTGGAACAATACAGGACTCTCAAAACTGGGTGTGACCCAAGTGATCGAGCCCTGACTTTTCATCCAAAATGAAGTGGTTTTGACACCAAACAGACAGAAACAGCTTATCAGAAATCCAGTCACTATGCAAGTTCTTAGTCCCTAACAATGTTTATTGACTATGGATCCTAGGGCATGTCCATAACTTTCTGTGCCCTGGCTTCCTCATCTCCATAATGGGGATCATGATAGTACCTGCCTCACAGGATTGTTTTGGGGGTTAAATGAGTTTTGTCTGTAAAGCTCTTAGAATAAGACGTACTAGCCCGGTATGTGCTTGCTCTTGTTATAGATGGAGCAACATTACAGAACTAATTTCCCCATTCACAGCTAGTAGGGATGACCCTATTTTTATAGTTTGAAATAAGTGAGAGTAAATGGGGAATGAAAGAATGTTGGGGGAACCTAAGATGACTTGCAGCTAACGTAGTCTTTAGGTATATCAGGAACACGTGGAGGAGCCTGGAGAAAAAGAGATAAACAGTGACTAATTGTTTTGAACCAATAGAATCAACACTATGGGAAAATTGGAAATGGGGAAAAGTCCAAACTAAACGCAGAAGAGCCTTCCATTCTGAAATGGGGCAGAAATCCTCACATGTGCTCTGCAACATTCCAGTTTCTTGTCTCCCCGCATTACCTGTTTATGGTCTCCAAAGCTGACCTCAGCTGTAAATGGAAAGGACTGAGACAGCTGGCTTCTAAACACTCTTCTAGAGGCTCAAATTTGTCATTTTCAAATGGAAAACCAAAGACTTGCAAAGGATGCAGGTAGGGAGAGCTCCTGGTCCGAAGCTCTGGTTGCCCTGGCAGCCCTAAGAATGGCCCTGGGCCGTTGTCTTCTGCAGACGTCTAGCAGGGTGCTGCCACGTGCCCTGTGAGCACAATTGAGGTTTTGCCTGTTGTCGAATTTTATAGACATTATGTTTTCTTTTGTGCTAATTTTATCAACAGTGGACTGAACTATGAGCCTTTCCTTTCACCAAGGGAAGTGTGAGCGACTTTCTTTCCCAAGCTTCAAAGAACCCATTTCTTCAGTAGGTACGAAGAAAAACTATTGGACACTGAGATCTAATATTAGCCACTAGATCACAGTCAAGAGAGTGACTAGTGAATAATTTCTTTTAAATGTTGGCCATGGCAGGTTGTTTGATCCATGCCTATGTATCTCTGTTCTATTGGCAAGATGAAGGCTCTTAGCAAATCCAACAAGGACTCAAATTAATAGAGGTTTCTCAGCCAAACTACTTACTAAAATGGTAGCTTATAATTTTTTTAAAAAGGTTTTAACTCGACGTCATTCCTTCTACTACCCACGAGACTACCTGAATGGTTGAAGCACTGAAAAGAACATACACCCAGAGAGGCAGTATGGGTAATGACTAAAAGCAGATACTGAAATCAACTACCGGGTTTGAATCCAGAGCTACCACTTACTAGCTGTATGGACATGTCACTTAGCCTCTTGGTGCTTCGGTTTCATTTTCTGTAAAATGAGACTAATAATAGTATCTACTACCTAGACTTGTTATGATTAATAAATGAGTTAATATTTGAGTGCCTTGCTAATATTCTAGTGTGTCCAAGCCTCTCAGGCTACTCGATACAGAGAATGAGTGTGTTCTTAGCCTTATTTCCTGAAATGTCTCCCACCACAGGGGCCCAGGAATTGCCTTTTCAGCTGGAATCGAAAACTGGATGCGGGCCTTTAAAAAGAGGGTCGATTCCTCCTCTACCCCCCACTGTGATAGTAGCCTGACCCAGCCCTGCCTCAGCTCCCAGCTGTGTCGGGGGTACCAAGATCAGAAGGAGCACATCCCTGTTAACTGACTCTAACAATAAACGCAAGGAATAATAAACATCAGATGTATATATTGTGAGCCACGTCCTGTTCTGAAAAGTCTTTGAAATTTTCTTAAATTTAGTAAAGAATTTTTGAACTTAAAGGAAATATGCTGAAACAAAAAATATACCTATGCAAAAGTAAATTGTTTTACATTCTTCTCATATAGAACAGGGAAATGCTACCATCCTTCACAATAGAATGAGAGGAATAAATAATAGCTGACGTGGAAAGAAGGAAAGTTATGAAGTTTTTCAACCTGTGAGCTGCATGAGTCTATAAAGTACCGCTAACTGAAGCTCTACTGGCTTCAGTTCAGCCTCAGCTCATACCAGGTTCTGTGTTTTTGTTGTTATTGTTTT